CAATATAAACATCGATAATTGACAGTCAGCTCTGTGGAGATTTTAACACTAGTTTTTATTAAGCTTCTGTGCTGTGAGACTCAACCTTAGAAAAGCCATCGGGAATCAGACACATACATTTCAGCATGTTGAAAAGAAGAGATATCGGTTGCTGTTGGTGCCTGCATAACCAGCATAACTTCAAAGCGGAGCCTGTTTATTTTTATTTTGATAGCATTTAAATAATCCAAAACAATGAATTATCTACCTCCAGTTTAAACTAGAATTTTGAGAATTTTGTTTGCTTACATTTAAAAATAGGCACAGAGGTTTGCATAAGTTGTAGTCCAATTCTTCTTTTCAAGTTTAATTATCATGAGTGGCAGCATTCTGAGTACAAAGTATTTTCTTGACTTTATCAATGAGCAGCATTTTGTTGAAACAAATTAATCTTTCCATATTTAAAGGGTCAAATCCTAGAGTATGTCGAGCATTTGTAAGAAATTTAAGTGAGTCTACCATTCACAGCCATACTGTGTTTTAAATTCAATGCCTACAAAGATAAGCTATGGAGAAATGACCTCTTTTTTTGAGATGCAGTCTCACTCTGTCACTCAGGCTAGAGTGCAATGGTCTGATCTCGGCTTATGGTAACCTCTGCCTCCCAGGTTCAAGCAGTTCTCCTGCCTCAACCTCTTGAGTAGCTGGGACTACAGATGTGCATGCTACAACCAGCTAATTTTTGTATTTTTAGTAGAGACGGGGTTTCACCATGCTGGCTAGGCTGGTCTCAAATTCCTGACCTCAAGTGATCCGCCCACCTCGGCCTCCCAAAGTAGTGGGATTACAGGTGTGAGTGACCGCGCCTGACCAAATTGACCTTGTGAAAATCCAGTTTTTAACTATTTCTATGAGACAGGGAGAAATATGAGGAAAATGTAAATGTCTCTACACATAGTTCCATGAAGTACCAAGAACAAGAAGTAGCAAGTCTTCTTAAGTGGGAATTATGGAGGGAGAGGTCTCAGTCTTATCAGCAAACTGATAACCATGCCCAGTGGGCACTTTCTAGCTCTGATCTAATTTGTCTTGCCTGCTGCATATTATATTACTGATCTTTCTTCTAATTATCTCCTATTCCACAGTAATACTCTTGAAGTTTACCTCCTACTTCTTCAGCCATTTCTTCTCATGTTCATGGATTATTCTGCCCTAAGTTTTCATCCTCAACCTCTTCTCTATTCTCAAGTTGGTCCAAGCAGGGTCAGGGGACCATCTGCAACATCTTTAATGCTTGTTAAAATTCAGACTCCTAGGTCCATTTACACTCTCCTGAGTTAAAATCTCTAGGTATGGGAGAGAGTCAACTGTTTCCTGTGGTGGCATTGTGAACCTGAGAATTCTCAAAGGCCTTGTTATATGTTCTCTGTGAAATGCAGGGGTCTATTTTATATAATGCTTGTATTCGAGGCAACATGGTATAGGAGAAAGGGCAGAGACTTTACAGCCAGATTGCTTGGGTTCATATTTCAGTTTTGGTATTTAATAGCTTTGTGACCCTAGGAAAATAAACATCACCTACTTGCTAAGATGGTGAAGATTAAAAGATAATATATGTAAAGGACATTACATAATGTTACACATAGTATGTTTCTTTTTTAACAAGTTTCTTGGTGATTCTAATGCAGATCAAAGATAGAGAACCACTGGGTGATATCATCCATTGCCAACGTTTCGAATCCACGTTTAGGATGATTATTTAAAACTCTCCAATGGCTTCCCATTGTATAAGAGCCTACATCACTTCATCCTTGCTTTTCTTTCCAGCCTCCTCTCTTGCCTTCCTTTCTACTGAAAACAAATTGTACAGAAATTTTTCAGTATTCTGTTTTGGCTCTCAGCTTTCCTGCTGACTCTTCATTCTTTCTAAAATAACTTTCCTCTACAGGCTCCTTTGCCAGACTTATCCAGTTCATCTTGTAAGTCTTAGCCTAGATGTCAGCTCCCTCACAGATCACCAGGTCTAGGTTTGGTGCCTCTCCTATGAGTTCTCATAGCACTCTGAACCTCCCCTATAATTGCATGTATCACATTTTACTGCACTTTCTTGGTTATTTGGTTCTATCCCCTATAAGGTATTTCCAGTTCCACGTTGTGGCATTTAATATATGCTTCATTAATAGGTGCTTTACATATGTAAATTGATAAATGGATGAATGAACAACTCACAGAGATAGGCTTCCAGATCAGACCTCTTCCCTAAGCCTTCATATCAAACTGGACTTGTGAAAAACGAAATTCCTTATCTTTCCCCAGCAAAATGTTTTCTTCCCCTCTCTGCTCTTTTCAGTGAAATACATAAAAATTTGCCCAATTTCAGGCAAAGGATATGAACAGACACTTCTCAAAGAAGACATTTATGCAGCCAACAGACAGATGAAAAACATGCTCCTCATCACTGGCCATCAGAAAAATGCAAATCAAAACCACAGTGAGATACCGTCTCACACCAGTTAGAATGGCAATCATTAAAAAGTCAGGAAACAACAGGTGCTGGAGAGGATGTGGAGAAATAGGAACACTTTTACACTGTTGATGGGACTGTAAACTAGTTCAGCAATTGTGGAAGGCAGTGTAATGATTCCTCAAGGATCTAGAACTAGAAATACCATTTGACCCAGCGATCCCATTACTGGGTATATACCCAAAGGATTATAAATCATGCTACTATAAAGACACATGCACACGTATGTTTATTGCGGTACTATTCACAACAGCAAAGAGTTGGAACCAACACAAATGTCCATCAATGATAGACCGGATTAAGAAAATGTGGCACATATACACCATGGAATACTATGCAGCCATAAAAGAGGATGAGTTCATGTCCTTTGTAGGGACATGGATGAAGCTGGAAACCATCATTCTGAGCAAACTATCACAAGGACAGAAAACCAAACACCGCATGTTCTCACTCATAGATGGGAATTGAACAATGAGAACACTTGGACACAGGGTGGGGAACATCATACACCAGAGCCTGTCATGGCGTTGGTGGAGGTGGGAGGGATAGCATTAGGAGATATACCTAATGTAAATGACAAGTTAATGAGTGCAGCACACCAACATGGCACATGTATACATATGTAACAAACCTGGTGCACATGTACCCTAGAACTTAAAGTATAATAAAAAAATAAAATAAAAAATTGCCCAATTTCTAAAGCCAGACAGTTGAGGATTATCCAAGGCTGCCCTACCTCCCTTATCCCCATATCCAATCTGTTATATTGCACATTAGCAATAGCCTAGCTCAGGAGATTTTTCCAAAGTGTGATTATTGAGGTTTGATTCAAGAGGGTATTTTGAGTGCACGTGTTTACCTTCCCTCTTTACTAAAAACTCATCTCATTGAAAAAGAAGTACAAAAGGGAATATATTTATAACTGTTCTGAGAAAGGAAGACCAGAGGGCCTGATGACTTTCTGTAACATGAGCAGCAGGTAGAAACTATCATATTAATAGGCAAACAAAAGTGGGAGCCTCCATTTCAAACAAACATAGGAAAAAGCTCTAACAGAAAGAAAAGCACTGTTCCTGGCTGTGAAGCCACAGAGAGACTCCAAAGGAACAGGTACAAAGATTGGGGACGGATAAGGAAGGTAACTGATTGAAAGACTGTCCACAGGCAGTGTTACAAACCTCGGCTGATCATAAAATTAACCTGGAGTTCTTGTTAAACAGAGAGACTCTCTGAACTTATCCCTGAAGACTCTCGTTCAGTGAGTCTGGCCATATGACCCAGGAAGTTGGATTTTTAGCAAGAGTACCCTGTGATTTTTATGGCAAACAAGTTTGGGCAATATTGGAATATGGACAGCTCTTTGTTCAGGAACCCCATTCCTGTCACTTCCACACAGATTGATGTGGCATACAGAATTAACCTTTGCCCCACATTCCATATTTAAATCAGATAATTAACTTCCAAAGAGATGTTAAAATCATCTGGGATAACTAACAGAGATAGTAGCACCCCGAAATAAGTCTGTCCACATTCTGGCGTTTGAGAATGCCAGATATTTCCCTGACTGAGCATCTGAAAGTGAGTCCTGCCAGTCTGTGTGCCCAAACACACACAGAGAGCTCTACTAGTCCCTCTACTCAGGGAAGAGCCTTATTAGGGGAAACAGATAGGGAGTTAGTCATATTAACTCCCTAGACCTTCAGGCATACATGTAAATGAAAACCTAAACTCGCCAAACATTTGAAGAAAAAAATGACAGCATCAAAGAGAGAAAAAACTGAACAAGTAGAATCTAACAAGCCTTAAAAAGCAAAAAGCAGAGATGTGATGAATGCTGAGATGAACCACACAGATCCCTCTTCAGAAACAAATTATTTATTCTTCAGTTGCTGGGAGAGCTGCCCCCAGAAAGGCATAAGGGAAGCATTGGCAGAAGACAGTCACCTCACCCAAGATCATACTCCTTTCCGATGGCTACCATATCCAGTGACTGATAAACATGGATATATAAAGTTCTGGCCTCCTTATCCCAATGTGGAGAAACACTGAAGAGTCATCCCTGCACGATAGTTCTCTAGGTGACTGTAGATTGACTCTGTTCTGCCCTATTTCCTGCTTAAGAATAACTATAGAATGTGCTGGAAATGCAGCATCCTGAGATGGGTGTGGAGAGAAACTGGCCAGAACAGTCTGGGCTCTGTCTCAGTCTCCCACTAGAACAGGATTACCTTCAACACTTTAGCCCAGTGATCATGTGGCCCTGAGACCTAGGGTAGGCTGCTTCCCAGGGTCCCTGAGCTGTGATGCAAGTGGGGGTGCAGGGGATCTCCATGCACCCCGAGTAGCTTTTTGAGCCTTGGGGGACCAACTCATAATGAATCCTAGGCTTCTGTTGCCCCTTGCTGCCTATCTGTAGGTAATAAACTTGCTTCATGTAACTTTCTCCACATGAGTATGCACCAGACTTAGAAAGGTTGGTAATCAGAGCACAGCGAACCTGCTTCACAATTCCCCAAAACTTGGATGAAAGCTCCATTGAAATTGCATTGCAGCTCAACTTGTCCCTCTGCTCAGTCCCGAATCCTTTTCTTCTCTTTGCTTCCTTGGGTGTTGATCCCAAGGATACTTCCTAATAAACCTCCTGCACACCAATCTGGAACAAAACAATATGTAGTAAACAGAAAAAAAAGATTAAAAAAAAAAAACTTCAGGGAGATTGAGATTATACATGTATAAAACAAAAACATGCAACTGTGGAAAAGATGAGAAGAAAAATAAAGAGGTATTGGAAATTTACAATATAATACTTGAAATAAAGAATTTAATTTAAAAAAAAACAGAACCAAGTTGAGAATATATCACAAAAAGTACAATAGAAAAATAGATGATAAATATAAGAAAAACTTAACAGATACAGACAGTTACTCTAGGAGGTCTAATATTCATACAACTAAGTCTGAAAATGATTTTTTAAAGAAAGGAAGAGAAATAATCAAAAATCAAGTAGAAGAAAATATCCAGAGGTGGAGAAGGGTCATCTCTAGATCAAATGTACCACAAAGTGATAGGCAGAATGAATTGTAAAAAGACCTACAACTGGACATTCCTTCCAAAATTTCTGAACACCAAGATTTCAAGATGGTTTTGTAAAAACTTCCAGTATGAAAGAATAGAAGTTTAAAATAAATATGAATGAGAATTACATCTCACTACTGATGCTAGAAGAAAATGACACAATATTGGTAAGGTGTTTTCTTTCTGGTGGCTTTGAATAAAGGTAGAATCTGTCTTCCTACCTTTTACCTTAGCTTGGATCCTTTCCTCAAATCAATTCAACTTCTTGTTTCCATTGTCACAACTACCAATGACTCCGATCCTCTTGTTTCTCTCTTATAAGGACACTTATGATTACACTGGATGCACCAGATAATCCAGGGTCCTGTCTCCATCTCAGGATAGTTAATGTATCACATTTGCAAAGTCCCTTTTAGCATATAAGGTCATACATTCACAGGTTCCAGGAATTGGAACATAGATATCTTGGGGGCCATTATTCAGCCCATCACAGTCCCATTCTAACATCCTGTTTTCCATGTGTTGGCTTTATTTAGAAAAAGTTTAATGTGATTATTATTAATCTGTCACTTAATTTTATTGATTCAACTCTCCTAAATGGCTCCAAATAGTCAATAACTCCTTTCTGCCTTTGTTTAGTTTTTTCTCATTTTTGGCCTACACTACACTAGTGGTGAGCTGTTGAGTCTCTCACCTAGTCCATCCTCTTTCTTCCACTACGGTTACGGGATTGAATTTACCAAAATCAAGCCAATCTGCTACTCCCCTATATAAAATAAAATGTATCTTCATGGCCTTCAGAATAAATTATAAGTCCATTTGTGTTTGGCCACTGGCTACCTCTCTCCTCCCTCATCCACTAGCAATTCACAAACGTACTGTCACATGTGCTTCATATGCTTTCCTGAACGGGCCACATTCTGTCATTGCTTTTCTAGCACTTCTTTTTTTTTTTTTTTTTTTTTTTTCTTTCTTGCCTGGAAGACCCACCCCTTCTTCAGTCTGACCTCTTTCCAGGTGTCCTTCAAGACTCAGTTCATTCACACTTTATACCTTCTTGTAAGCCTTAACTGACCACACTCCTGGGCTCTTCACTTCTCTCCTACAAACTTCTTCATGATACTGAAAGACCTTCAACTGCAGCCTGCATGTCTCTGTATTATAAGCATTGGCTTATTTGTCTGTCATTATAAATTGTCTATGGAGATTCTTTGAGGACACTGACAATGTAATCTATTTCTATGTATTGGCAGAAGACCTGGCATACCCTCAGAAAAGTATTTCTTGGGTGAATGAATAAACCATGATATGTTTTGGCCAATCACCTCTTTATAGCTGTTTCTCACTATCCATTCTTCAAATCTATGTAGAGTTTTCCCAGATATCTACATGGACAAACTTTTATACACACACACACACACACACACACACACACACACATCACTTTCTACTATCTATTCTAACCATTGAGTTGGCAAATACTCATTAACATACATTATGCACAAGTGCACAATATATACTTGAGTTAAAATAGACTGAAGTTGTATCAAAAAACCACTGTGGAAAATCAAGGAAAACTGGAGATTTCTTCCCAAGAAGTTTTCTTCAAACTTTACTCTTTTAAATTATAAGAAAGCTAACCCGACCATCACAAGTATATCTCAAGTTTGTCATCATGTCATAGTTTTCACAGGTTTTAAAATCAACACTCCATTTGATTTTCAAGATGGTGTGAGACAAACAGGCTAGGTATATATTATCCCAATTTCAGAGATGCAAGAATAGAAGCTTAAGAGAGTTTGAGTTCTTAAAAGGAATTCACAGAAATTAGAAATTTTAAAATGGAAAGTAGAACAGTGGACTCATCTGAAAAGTTTGTGAAAATACTGATGCCTGATCCTCCCCCCAAAACAAGTAAATTAGACTTTTGGGGAAAGAGGGTATCTCTGGCATCTGTATGTTTTTTAAGCTCACCAGATATTTCTACTAGGCAGCTGGAGTTGAGAAGCACAGAATTAGAAGCCAGGTGTTGTGATTTTACTTCTATGGTTTTTATTGAAGTACATAATGCCAAGTCACATAGTTGGCATATTATATCACCCAACTGGTGTTGGCATTAGGTTACTTTTGTTATAGCGCCTCAGAGGAGTAGGGATAAATATTTGTATTTGGTTTCACCAGTTGAGTTAATATTTGTTAATGGTTTTTAAGGAGAGGGTAACATGGCCAACATTTAGATAGCATTCAAGACTTTGGTTCTAAGCATGTATTTTCCTAGCACCTTGATAACTAATAATAAGTCTGACTGTGGGAAAGAAAGGAATGAGGTGGAAAAATGGGGAGGCAGGCATGATATATGGCAACAAATGTATTGTATGTCTCTTAGATACTGCAAGAGAATGATTCCTCACCAAATCCAACCCAAATGCTGCCTCTCAAGTATTTGAGAAAAATTCCTAACCCCCTTTAATTTGAGGTTTCCTCATTTGCACAGGGCATATTGATGGTAGCTTGGTAGATTACTTAAAATATTAGTTCCTGAAAACTGAATGATAAATGTGTCTCCATGTCATTGTCACATGAGGCTGATTGGTAGGTAACACACACCTCACAAGGGCATTCTAAGGAGTAAACAATGATTACACAGCTCTTAGAACTACAAATAGCACTCATTAAAAAATGTTACCGTGCACATGCTTTCTGCCAAGGTAAACTGTAATTTACACTTTTACCCGAGGCATAATTGTTAGTTTATTCTTTTTTTCTGTTCACACCCATCTATCCCTCCCTTGGGCTTCAAAAAAGCCACAAGAGTTTTTACGAAAATCATCTTTAAAACATGTATTTACCCTCTTTTTGACCCCTCAAACTAGCTCTTTATTACTCCAGGGCATTTTAAATTGTTCTAAATTTGTTTTGGAGGCTATGGTTGTACTCTCCCCTCTGCATACATTCATAACCCCCATTAACTTCCATGGGAATCAGCTACACATGTATCAAAGTGAAACGAAGCTCTCGTATATATTTAAATCTGATTAATATCTATTTGTGATAAAATTAAAAGTAAGAACTAAAATCTAGGGAAAAGAGTGTAAAAAATATGAGACCATGTTGTGCATAATTAAAGGAGTTTCCATTTATGGATAAGTAAAATGGCACACCACCCCCTGGCACTATTTCCAATATGTCTTCAGTTTCAAGTTACTTACCGTAAGGCACCCGTATTTTAAAATGAAATGTGTGCAACTGTCTCACAAACTATGCTTGGCCCTGTGTGTCTTGGTTCTGTGTTGTAAATGTAGAAGAGCAAAACCACTGTTTTGACCAATATTAAGTCACCTGTGGGTAGAATTTGATCTTACCTATTTACTGTCAGATTTTAAAATTATGTCATAAACATTTGCAAAATTTGCATATATAAGTCTGCCTACTATATGCCCATGAAAATTGAGTAATGGAGTTCCAAACAGTCCAATTTTTTCTTATAAAACCAGATCTGTGTAGTGCATACCCTCTATGAACATTACTAGGAGGCAAATACAAACTTTACATACATATTTTAGTGATCCTTTGAAATGTTTGCTTTGAAATACAGATATATCATACATGCAAATAAATACACTAATTCATCCATGCATTTAATGATATGAAGTCAACTCTAAACCCCACAGCAGTAAGAGGTGCAATATTAAAATTCATTTCCACTTTACAAATAAACACTGTGCACTTCTCAGATAAAATGTGAGAAAATATGAAACTAGGTGTTTTTCAAACATAGTTTAAAATAAATGGATCTTTACTGACCTACATGGTTATTCTGGAGAAATCTGGTAAGGTATTTCTTCAGTTGTGCTAAGTTAGTGTTTAGTCATTAGCTAAGTAAATAATACTTTATTAAATCACACTCTTATGAAAGGAAAGCATCAAATGCAGTTTTCAGAAGCACCCAAGGAACGTCTAGCAAGTCAACAGCTTGGGAGAATATGTTTTTCCCTTATATAGGAAATTACAATGAAACTAGATTTGAAATAAGCATTGTAAAGTTAACAGATATGTATGATGGGATACAGATGTTTTAGTAACGCGCTATTCTAAACACAATATGATTTTCCATTCCCTAAGCATATTTGAATGGAGCCAAATTTGGCTATTTGAAAATACTGAAGATCTTCACCTTTTTGTATTCTCTTAAGTTTTTCACATTCTCCTTTGGAGCAGCTACAGTCTATATCCTCAAATGAACTGAGCTACCCAGTCTCAATCCAGAGCGTTTAATTAAAGTGGCTATACAGTGGCAACTGTTTTACAGAGATGTCAGATGACTTTTCCTAACACTTTTGCAATAACTATAGTAATTGATACCATTCATTAAATCCCTACTACAGTATAAGAACTGTGATACTTTATGAATAGATTTACTAACCCTTAAAGTGAGTTTACAAAATATGTATTTTACAGATTAGTCAGATGGTAATGTGTGAGTAGTACAGCAGGATTCACATCTAAGGTCATCAGCCTCCTCCAGTGGTGAGCTCCCCTCTACCTTCTGTGGACTCCTCCAGTGTCAGAACCTCACACACTTCACAAAGTGGATACCTACATGCAAGTCCTGCCACTGTTTAGGAAAATCCCATAGTATGTGGCCAAGTCAGCACCACTTTTTAATTTGGCTCAAGTTAAAGAGCCAATTGAAAGCTATCCAGTCAGGAATTGATGGAATGAGATTTAAGAAAGGAAGTCATGAGAGAGGACACCTGAAACTAGACTTACATCCCTACAAATTACAATTCAATGTTCACCCTCCTCTCTTTCTTCAAAATGCTAAAAGAGCAAAAAGAATACACAAAATCGATAGTAAAGACCAGAAAAACATTGGAATCCCCAGCTTATGGCATGACAATATTTCAGGGGGAAAAATTTTAATTCTTATCTAAGAATCACTTATGAAAAACATGAATATTCACACCTTCTTTAAATTAAGATCTATTTATAAACTGTTGCTTATCCTTCAATTACACTTAAATTCTTCCTAAAGATCAGATCTTGACAATGAACTTATAGTAAAAAAAGAATAACATGTAGTAAAAAAAAAAAAAGAGTTGGGGTTTTTTTGTTTTTTGTTTTTAAGCTAAAAGGACCTTAGGGAATTGGTTGGTATAATCCCCTCACTTAAACAGAGGAAAAACACAATTATTGGTATTTTGTTTAGATATAAGAGTATTACCATGACATCTTACTATAAATGTTCTCATTTCATCCAAACATAAGAAGATTGTGTTGGGGATTACCTTTTTAAAAAGCCATTATAGTACATTATATTCTTTGTCTCATGACATCCTCCTGGTCAGCTATGTATGGCATAAGTGTGATGTGATGACTACCCTGGTTCCAGTGTAAACTAAGCCAATGTTATTATTACTAACTTTTTCTATTTGGTTGCATATACGCATCCACAAATCACAATTTGTCCTCATTTCTTGCCTTACTATAATCTCTGAAAGGGCATGACCCTATCTGTTTTATTTGCCACTGTCACCAGAACTTAGGACGGTATCAGACCCATAGTAGAAAGATAATAAATACTCCTTGAATGAAAACAATGCCAACTTTTCTGCCAAAAATAAGAAAAGTAGAATCTTAAAACTGGCATTTACCTGTCTCCCTTACCTGGGCAAATAGTCCATCACCAAGTCCTCTCAACTTTCCTAACTAGTTCTTCAATCTATTTCCACTATCATCCCTCTAGTCCAAGCAAGTTACCAAGCTCTTGTCTCAAATAAAGTGAAAAATCTACTCTCTGGCCCCTCCCAGTCCTCTCTGACTTGACATGGATCAGGTCTCCACGTGCTGCAGCTGAAAGACCCCTGACAACATAAGGCTGACTGGGTCGCAGGCTCTCATTCGTTTCTCACGGCTGCTATAACAAATTACCACAAACTCTGTGACTTAAAACAACCAGAATTTATTTTCTTATTGTTCTGGAGGCCAGAGTCTGAAATCAAGGTGACTGCAGGATTGTGTTTCTTTCAGAGGATCTAGGAGGCAGTCTGTTCCTTGCCTCTCCCGTTCTCTGATTGCTGTCATCATTCCTTGACTGTAGGTGCTCACTCCCATCTCCTCCTCCATCTTCACATGGCCCTCTCTTTTGGGGTCCTTCTCTTTTCTCTCTTAGAAGGACATGTCATTGGATTTAGGGGCCACTGGGATAATACAGGATAACTCAATCACAAGATCCTTCACTTAATTATGTCTAAAAGGCCCTTTTCCCAAATGAGATTACATTCACAGGTTCCAAGAGTTAGGACATGGACATAGTTTTATGGGGACCACCATTAAACCTTTTTTTCTCAAGATTATTTCCATAATTGCCACTTTCTCTTAGGATAAAGGCCAAGGTAGATAAATGGACTAAAAATCCTTGAGTGGTTTGGCCCTTGATTAATCTTGCGCTTCTTTCCCAAACAACTTAAACTTTTGCTTTATTTCCATTTCTCCCCTCAGCATCTTCCTCTCACCTGGGGCAGTTGCAAATGCCTTTTCTTCTACAAATGGAAAATTCCTTCATACGTCACCCTACTCAACCTTTTGCAGAGCCTTCCCTAGCACCCCCACCTCACCCCCAGACAAAGCCTGGTTGCTCTATTATACTGAGTAGCAAATTACTTTCCATAAAAACATATCTGTTTATAATTATTTTTTCATGAGTATGATGATATGATTAATGCCTGGCTCCTCCACTTGTCTGAAGCTTCGTGAGAGCGAGAATCATACATGTTTTATTTAGTTTTTTTTGTATTTTCTATTTTTTTACCGACTAATGTATTTTAGAGACTAGTGCAGGGCTTAACACATACTAGGAAGGCAGAGAATGTTTGTTTACAAATAAATGAATGAATGAATTATTGAGAGAGTAGATTAATGAATGAATATATTTACCTTCAGTTTTATTCCAACACTTTGGGGTCATTCTAGTAAAATGAATTAATCAGTATTGATAGAATATTGCAATAAATCTAATAAAAAAGATTACATATACACCAAACTGACATGCTTACCAACTTAAATGAAGAATTGAGTTATTAACTCAGAATAAAACTCAACTTGTATGTATCAAATCTCCAAGTAACCTTGACTTTATTTTTTAGTACAGGTACAACCTACAATTCAAGTCTATTAATAATCTGCCAGTTTATCACTAATCACTAAATTTGAGTTAATGGGATCTAATAGATCCTACTCTGCTGAAATTCACTAAGAAATAGCAAACCATTTCCTCTAGAAAGAGTAACAGATTTTGTATAAAATAAAGCTCTCACCTTTTGTGATTCTGCAAGAACCCCATCCTAACAATGGTTTTAGCTGAGAGAAGACTGGCTCATGTTAAATCCAAAGTCATGAAATATCCATGCTATAGCAGGGGTACATTTTATTTTATGACTTAAATAAAAACATTTCTAAAATTACATATCCTGTGATAATAAGATTCAAAAAAAAGCCTAGGGTTATTGGAACACGTGAAATTCAAGCCTGAAAAGAATTTAGTTGGTTTAAAATTATTTGAAGACCATATGAAAGTATGGAATCTCCTTCTAGCTTCAGCTTAATACCTACTATCACTATGGGGATACAAGTAGCTAGCAAAAAAATCTTCCTGCTTTATGATTCATATTCCTACATAGAATGTTTCCTAAACTCTGTGTTCACTGAATGAAAGACTATGACTAGAGTATATTTAGTTAATCATTAGTTCATGTATAACATAAATCCCAAAGAATTCTCAAGGTTATGACAAATTAAAGCTGTCTGTATTAGGACTCTTCTTACAATGAGGAAATAAATCTACCAGTATAATACATATAATTACTTTTGCATGCTGAAAATTATTAAAATGGTATATGTAGTCACTATGTATGTACTATCAGTTTTTCTATATACTTAATTCTGAATACTTTTTAAATGAAAGTCATTTAGAATGCTAAAATCAAAGAAGTACTCAGTGAAAGTTATTTTCATGTAAAAAGTTCATTGGAAGTTCCAATTTATTTAAAGACTGGAGGGTTTGCAGGCAGGAAAAGGAAACAAACAAACAATAAATATATAAATAAGTAAAGACTGGAGGAAATTGTATAATCATAAACAAATACCCTAAGTGATATTATCATATTCAGCTATATTTTCAAACTGTATAGATTTAAAGAATATTTCAGTGATTTAAGATGAATTTTTACATGTGGGTCTCCATTTTGCTGACCATAAAATAGCATTATAAGGATTAATGTCAAAAACTGAAAGATTTCCAAATCTAAGTAACATAATAAACAAAAAGGAGTAGATGATCCAATAGTACAGCATCATAAGTATAAACTTCATGTTACTTGTTAGGCAACCCACTTTATTTCCTTTGCATTTTAACATTAAAGAGATCACTCAGTATGATAGCAATCATGTTCAATCATCAATAAATTCTGTTTGCCACAGGAGGTCATCAGGGTAAGTAAAACTTTGTTATATCACTTCTGGTTCCATTGACTAAGATTCCTTTTAAAATGTTGGTGTTTACCATGTCTCATAGACAGATGGCATTCCCAGGCTTACCCATCCTCTGACTCTGGGCTTCAGGCATTGGAACTTTTGCTGGGTAGACACCATCAATACAGAGTAGCCCAGACTTATTTCATGGACATTTTCTTCATTTCAACTGTGTCACCATAGCTTTGCAGAAAGGACCTCCTGGTCGAATTTCTAGATTATTCCCAAAAATCATTTTGGTAATTGTTTTTCTAGAATAAAAGTCAATAAACTATTTGCTTTCTAAAATCCAGTTTTAAGTGGTGTGTGTGTGTGTGTGTGTGTGTGTGTGTGTGTGTTTAAAGAGCTGCCCATATGACATCAATAAGCTCTTTTGTGAGCACAGAAGTTTTATGAGGAAAGCTTCTTTTGGTCCTTACAGCAACCCACTAGTACAGAATGATATGCACAGATCAAGGGAAAACAATATTTCTATGCTTGTAAGGCAGAAGACACATGGAATATCCTAATTTTAGAATTGTTTAAATGGATTCAGGAGTGGATTTTATATAAACAATATTTAAGCTAAATTCAAATATTATTCTGTGCCTATAGCAAGTAAGGACTCACATATTTTTACCCATTATGCAGTTGATAAATAGGCACCTAATAAGAAAGAAGATTTCATGAGGGATAAGAGAAAGCACAAAGTTATTTAATACAATGAATAACTTTATCATCCCAATCTAAATCATCCAAGCAGAGCCAGACGCAATGGCTCATGCCTATAATCCCAGCTCTTCGGAAGGCCGAGGCGGGCGGATCCTTTGAGGTCAGGAGTTCAAGACTGGCCTGGCCAACATGATGACACCCAATGTCTACCAAAAATACAAAAAAATTAGCTGGGCATGGTGGCGCACACCTGTAATCTCAGCTACTAGGGCGGCTGCAGCAGGAGAATTGCAATGGAGGTTGCAGTGAACCAAGATCACGCCACTGCATTCCAACCTGCGTGACAGAGTGAGATTCCATCTCGAAAGTAAATAAATAAATAAAAATAAAAAATAAATAAATCATCCAAACTTTTAAAAGAAATTGAGGCTAGAGGAATGAAATAGATCTTAGTCTTTATATAAACTAAACTAATTTTGAATTTGTTATCAAATTGTTCTGTAAAGGAGATGTAGCTTTTAAGAAAACAAATTGAAACTAAAGAGTCAGTATCTGGAGTGGTTAAACACATGAACTCTGGAGTTAAACTGCCTGGATTTGAACCCTGACTATGCTACTTAATATAACAGCTGGGTGATCTTGGGTTTGTTGCTTGATTTATCTGTGTTCTTTTCTCGTCTGCAAAGGGAGATAATAATGCCTATCTCATAGGGATGTTATGAGAATTAAATGAGTTAACATGTGAAATTCCCTTCAAACAACAGTACTGACATGCTATGCATTCATTATTACTAATGACTACCTGATTACAGATGTGGCCCCTTATCATATAGTGAGAGAATAGCAAGGAAATATAGTGAATGCCCCATACTCCATTGGCCGAATTGTCCTCAGTTTTGCAAGTCTAGATTTTAAAAGGTAGAAAATAAAGGAATTGGAACACAAGAAGAGAAATATCATAAAACTTCTGGTGCCTGGACAGTAGTTAAAAGTTCTGACTGTAAGTTCAGAGATGCATGTTTAAATCCTGTTCTGCTTCTTACTAGCTATGTTACCTTGGACAGGCTACATAAAGTCTCTGTGTCTCAGTTTCCTAATTTGCAAATTAAGGATAATAATTTGCAGATTATTATTTATACCTAACTTATAAGGATGTTGTGAAGATCAAATGAAATCCGACATGTAAAGCACTCAGGACATAACAGGCACTCAATAAACATTGTCTCTTTTTATTTAGTCACAATGTAGCAAGCACATTAATGAAGACATTGCCTACATAACACATACCTGTATCACCCTTAAAATTTTCTAAAGTGGAGGGAACCAAGTAACATACTTAATAAAATTGTTAAACAGTACATATAATATTATAACCACATTTTACATCACGGCCATTATATTCTTGCAGATAAGCAAGTATGTATAGGTGTTTTCCATACAATAGTCACAGAATGATTTAAAAGTGAAAGAGAAAGGGAAAAATCAGTGATGCCATGGAACAATTCAACACATATTTAATTTCAGTTTGAACTGAATTCTTAACCTCCACATTTTTCTCTAAAAGCAAAGGATTGAGTAAAAATAATATATTCCAAATGGTTTCTGTGATTTACCCTATCCTCTCTGGCTGAAGTGTAAAATGTCCTCATGGCCTGCCCACAGTAGTTTGGGCCTGAGTGTCACACTGAATTGGGCAGGTCATGTAACTAGAAGACCTATGTAAGGGCCACATGAGTAGCTCAGTAAAACAAGACAGTGCTCACACAAGTTTTTAAATACAAAACTTCCTGACACCTCCTCAAAGAATCTGTGAAAGCAGCTCCTCAATCTACAGCTCACACTTACGTGTGCAATGGGTTCAGAGAAAACTATGAATTACCTTTGAAAATTGACTTTACTTTGTTAGTGGATACCAAGGAAATATTTCTGCACTTAACTTTTAATTTTCTGTGCTTGGGTTGATCAAGCCTTGACATTAAGTCCATTTCACAAGAAGAAAATCGACTCATCATTGAAACCAAGCTTTGGCACAATTTCATTGATGTTTCCAGAAGCAGAACAACATGCAGAGAGATTAATAAACAAAGTAAAACTTAATTCTGCCAAGTAATATTATTAACTTTAGTTTTCATACTATGATTCTACCCTTTGAGAACCATGAGAAAGTCTCAGAGATATTAGCTGTTATTAATAAATACACATTTAAAAGTCAGTAACTCAAGGCACTAGAAGTGTTCCACAGTAGAAGTTGCTAAAATAAAACTGATTTCTCAATTAAATCCTACCCACAGATAAATCAGAGCCAAATTCACCTAGAAATATAGAAATTCTAACAGTATCACAAAATATGAGAGGAATGTGTGGTATCTTTGTCTCCTATTTGGGCTCTCTTCCTCCTCCCAACTTCTAACTATAAACATAGCTCAAACTTTGTTGGTAGAATTTCTATATTTCTCAGAACACACTCAGTCACGTGGCTTTAACTATTTATTTTCTACATATGACTCCAAAGTTTAGTACTTCAGCCCTCAGCTTACATTCATGTTCCAATATATTTTCTCTACTTAGTAGACCTTTTCATCGTCTCAAACTTAATATCTAAAATTAGCTCCCACATGTAACTTTTTCTCTCCTAATGAATAATCCCACAAGTTTTCCAGTCACTCAAGCTGAAATCCTCCATATGTGACTTCTTTCCTCATACCCTACATGTGGGTCAGACCCTCAAAATGCTTTTATGGATTGATGGCCCCCAAGAGCCATGCGCCCCAGTGTCATACCTCCCACACTGACTTGCTTTGGCCAATGGGACATGAGCAAGGGTAATACAAGTGAAATCTTGATAAGTACTTGCACATTGTGGCTTATGTCCTCTTGAAATGCTCTCTCATGGAGTCTTGAACTACCATGCAGAGGTCATGCTACTCTACTGAGGAGATTTTGTGGTGAGAGAGAAGCCCAGCCAGCTGCCACCTGTTTCAGTCAGTTAGAGGAGGTGCCAGACATACTAGTGAAGAAGTCATCATGGCCATTCCAACACCAGCAGACAACCAGTGAAGCAGAAGACAGCTGAGCTCAACCTGGATGGTAGGATTAAGACAAATAATACCAATTTATGGCTTTAAGTTACTGTATTTTGGGGTGGTTAGTATGCAGCAATAGATACCTGAAATGTTTTTTATGCAGCCATCCTAAAAACTTCAAGTCTGCAAGGATGTCTACCCCAATCAAATGCTTATTGCACCTTCTGTGGACTTTTTTCTTGCTTCTTCATCATATAATGTATCATCTTGAACCATGGGACTTTTTAATTCATTCATGTTTTCTTCTCTAGCATGACTCTAAGTGTTCTGAATCTAGAATATCATGGACCCAATAATTATTTGTTGAAAAAAGAAAGAGAGAAAGAGAGGGAGAAGAAAGAGAGAGAAGAAAAGCTAGTAAACTACAGAAGAAACAAATAAGTCAAGTCAAACTGAACAAAAGTGGACATAAGGCCATGGGTAAAAGTAGGAGGAAGAGTACTGATGTTTTTGCACACTGGGCAAATATAAGAGAAATGTGCTGCATAGGTAACTATGACAATAAAATATGGGTCAAGGTAAATGCTTGAAACATTTTTTACTTTGCCATAAGATGATGGGTAATAAAACAGAAATAACCGTCTTACAGAAACTTTGCTATTATGTACTGACATCACTTCTTTTCAACACATGCTTTTATAAGTGAAGAAAATGCCATCAATGTAAGCACTATCAATATATTTCCATATATGTTTCACGTACAAACTGAATTAAAGGAGACTGAGTTTGTGTTGAAGTTACCAACAGTTAGGAATACAGTGAGTGATTATAATTGATGACAGTTTTAGCATGGTAGTAATGAGAACACGGTAGGTTTTTCCCATTTCCCACTCCTATCTTCATCACTAAAATAGATTCAGGGTGTGCCATTTTCTCTTCTTATTAGTCTCTGTCATAAGAATATGGCATCAGAATACTAATGCCAGAAAGAAACTAAGGAAAACAAAGTTTTGTAGCTTTAAGTCTCTGGTGTGTAGAATTGCTAGCTAAGAAAGAAAAAATTCAAGTACTTCTTCAGAAATTTTAGTGAAAATTGTCTCACTTGTTAGATGTTTTTCAAAAACGCTTTTAGAACAAGTGTTTTGTTAATTAGAAAATTAAGTGATAAATATTAAGATACTGTAAATTGTGTATGGTGTATAGAATTGCTAGCTAAGAAAAAATTCAAGTACTTCTTCAGAAATTTTAATGAAAATTGTCTCATTTGTTAGATGTTTTTAAAAACTCCTTTTAGAACAAGTGTTTTGTTAATTAGAAAATTAAGTGATAAATATTAAGATACTGTAAATTCTCAATAAATACTCCTGAATTTCTCCTTGTGTTTTGCAAGAAAGGTTCTTTAATAGTAGTATTAGCTAGATAAACTTCACTTGCAATGCTATCATATGACTAAAATAGTATTAAACACAAGGGAAAGTTATTGAATCACATTTATGGCATGTCTAAATTATAATACAAATAAATTTCAATCATGTCAGCTTCTTTAGAAACCATCTTCATCACTCAAATTAATTAAGTTGAAACAGAATAGAGGATGTAAGTTCTTTTGTTCCCAGGAGGTTGCTTTGTTTATCTGCCAAATTCACAAAGACTTCACAATTTATCTATTGGAGTAGCATTCTGAAAAATTCAGTACCGTATAAAGACCTCTTAGGGCAGTGCTAAGAGAACTTGACTTAGAGCCAGGAGACTTGGGTCCAAGCAGCTTTCCTATGCATTCCCACTCTGGCCATGGGAAAGCTAATTAACTTCTCTAAGCTTCAGTTTCCTCATCTATAAAATGGGCATAATAATTGATTACGGGGATGTATTAATACAGCTAACGTGGAAAATACTCTGTAAACTCTATTGCATTGGGTCTCAAAGAGTGGTCCTTAGATCAGCAGCATCAGCATCTTTTGGGAACTAGTTAGAAGAAAAAAAATTCTCAGAACTCTCCTTTGATTGACTAAAATAGAAATGCCAAGGTGAGGGACCAGTAACCTCTGACTTAACAAGGACCCCAGGTGATTCTGATGGGTGCTGAAGTTTCACTTTGCCACTTACTGGCTTAGGCAAGGGCCTTAGTGACCTAACTCAGTGCCTAGGTTTTCTCAGCCA